TTGCACATATACCTATTGCCTAACAAACCTAATACAAAAAGAATTTTAAATGTAACATATTGGGTTCGTGATATATGGCTTAAAGGTTCAAAACTTCAGAAATCTATATAAAATCACACGATGACGTCATGATGACGTCACCTCAATATTTATTTGTAACACATCCCGGCCTACCCCCATACCAAGTTTCAACCCAATCGGATGTACTGTTCATGAGATATAGGGGCTTAAAATATACAAGTTAACAATGACGTCACGTGTCTAATGATGACGTCATCGTAACAATACTTGGCAGTGCTCATTTTTTTATTGTCGTTTTAGTCTGTACCAAGTTTGGAAAAAAACAGATTAATAAAAGTGTTGAATTTTGTAAGCAGAATAAAATTGGCAATATTAAAAAAATCTTTAAAAATCGACCGATGACGTCATCGTGACGTCATTTAAGATTTTGTGTACTAGTGTTATTATCTACCCACCCACCAAGTTTCAAGACGATCGGACATTCCCTTATATGTTTTTTTTGAAAAATCGCATTTTTGCTGACGTCATTATGACGTCACACATTTTTCCAAATTTTGTGCATTTATCTAATGCCCAGCGAACCTAATACAAAAAGAATTTTGAATTTATCATATTGCGTTAGTGAGATATGGCTTAAAAGTCCAAAACTTCAAAAATCTATATAAAATCACACGATGACGTCATGATGACGTCACCTCAATTTTCGTCTATAACACATCCCGATCCACCTACATACCAAGTTTCAACTCAATCGGACTGACAGTTCTGTAGATATAGGACTTTGTAATATGCATATTAATGATGACGTCACGTGACCCATGATGACGTCATCATGACGTCGCTCGTCCGCACACATCTATGCTGTATGGACTATGTCTATGCAAACTTTGAACGATATGCAACAAAGTTTAAGGGCAAAAGTGGCGTGTAGAATAAACGTGTACAAAGTCTATGGGGTTTTGGGAAAAAAAGAAGAAGAGGAAGAAGAAGAAGAAGAAGAAGAAGAAAGAAAAAAAATCAGAACAAAAAGAAAGGCTTTTCCGCATTTTTGCGGAAAAGCCAAAAAATAACAAAAACAAGAGCTGTTTCGGTGTGTACACCGAAACAGCTAATTAAACTTCATATAATAAATATGGCAGAGCTTGTATAGTTTCATCTGATTATATGTTCCCTTTCCATCTTTGAAAATTATAACATTATTCACAATATACAATTCTATCAGTACATTTGTACCTTTGCTCTTGGTCAAATGAAGTGTGTATTGTTATAAAGTAGGTTTATTGCTGTAGTCTCACAAGAAGTTGTGTTTCCTGTAAAATGTAGGTGGTAAAGTTTTTCTCCTAGTTTTTCCTCAGCTAAAGAAAACCTATAACTGCATTTTTTGATAGGTTCTGAGTTATTACTTTGGGGCAAGTAATACTGTGAATCAATCATTTGGACACAGACAAATGTTATCTGTTCATTTTTTTTGTTCTGGTTCTTTAATATGCTTGTATACTTACAAATAGGTCATTTGGCTTTGAGCCTTAAACAAGTTCATAAAATTTGGGTAACAATAAATAACAATAAACAGGCCTAATAATAAAATATATTATTTAAAAAAATGCATTCCATGTCACACAGACATCACAAAGCGCTGTACAATTAAAATTCCATAAGTTATTAAGAAATACAGATAAAAGCAGTCAAAACAAAAGACAAGTAATTAAACAATCAATAAAAAATAACAAATACTTTTAGCTGCCCTACCAAGATCACATAATAAATTAATTTGTATTAATTGTATCAGCCAAAAGTTTCCATACATTGATTTCCTACAGTAATAGTGAAAAAAATGCCCACTAATTTTTATGCTGTTGAAAAAAATTGTTTATTACAAACTGAAGTTGTACTAACCGTTTTTGGCCTTGTTGGAGTTGGTATTAATTTTCAAAAAAAAAATTAATGTACGTTTATTACAAACTGAAGTTGTATTAACTGTTTTTGGCCTTGTTAGAGTTGGTATTAACCTTCAAAATAAAACAAGAATTTGGTAAGAAATTTGCAAAATTTTCTCACATACCAGGTCTCTGTTATTTTAAGTTAGTCAACACGAGTATAATATCCAGATACAATTGACATTTTTAAGGTCACTATTTTGGATATAAAATATGACAAACGGCAACTTCCTGAAAATCAGAACAATGAAAACGTACATGTTACATATGAGTTTGCACGTAACTTCTGATTTGATGACGTTCTAGCATTTGCACACCAATGACTGGAAAGTCTAGTGTAGTGCAATTATTTGTGTAAAATAATACTTCTGCATGTTTACTGAATGACGGCGTAAAAACAAGGGAAACGCATCATTTTCCAAATTTACACTTTTTCTCAAGCGTTCAAGCTCCACTTTGGTAAATGTGTGGGAAATTCACCTCCATTTTAAATGTTTTTTCATATATCGTTGCACTTCAGTAATCATGGACATAAAGGTTATCTGATGTGTCTGTGAATCAACTATGTTGCCTAAAATTAGGCTTAACAGATCGGAAAATATGAAGTGATGTCTCATTCAGTTTGATAGTTATAGCTAAAATTGTTTCTTTTAATTTTGACAATGTAATTTGACATTTGATAATGTCACAGTGATGTCACAAAAATATGCACACCAAACCTTGGGTTTCTACCAGATTTAAAGTTTACACCATGACCGGTTTAAAGACATTTGCTTATTTGAATACAAACTTTTCAGTAGTTTAAATTCATTTAACTTTGAGTTTAACCATGGAAGTATATGTAAGGGTCAGACAACAATATTTAGCCCCCACTCAAGATCTGTCAGATCCGATATAAGGAGTATCATACCATGTTCCCTCAAATACAGTTATAAGAAATCGGTCATTGTTTGAGTTAAACTTTTTTGTAACTTGATGACTGATGGTGTCATCATGACATCACACTTGCATGCACAAGTTACTGGGTATAAAGGTTGATGATAATGCCAGTTTTCAAGTTGATATATTTTACCCTCTTGAAAAGACTTACAGATTTGTGTGTGGAAAAAAAACACTAAAAAGAAGAAACCAATACAGTTGAAGACTGATAAGAAGAGCACTGTTAATACAACGTCATGCTTATAACAAGGAAAATTTTAGGTCCCAAGTCTGTGGTTTTTCTTTGTTTTCAATACTGTTAATACAAGATATCTGTTATAACAAGGAATTTTGTAAAGTCTGAAGGACCCTGTTATATCAGTGTTTCACTGTATATTGGAAAATTTGGGGAGTTTTATTATCCATTTCCAAACTTTACACTGCTGATGAATCTGAGTCTGTCCCGTAGAGCTATATTAGATTACTAGAGCGCTAACTCGATGTACAAAGTGATGCCTGCTGATCGCATCCATGTTTGTGCACAAACCTATGGGAAAACTCGAAATTTTGTACAGCTTTTGTATGGCTATGTGCATATCTGCGTTTTTATTCTATACTGGTGCGTTATCAAAGCCCAAAACAGAAACACAAAATCACTAAGTGAGCGTTTCATTTTGTTCTGCGCAAACAACGCAAACACATGCACGGATCAGCTCCAGATAATTATGCTGTGACGCTTTTTAACTATCATGACGCGCCGCGCGTATGTTGTACTTGCGCGTTGCATTTAGAGTACACTTCCAAAATTCACTCCATTTAATTTCATTGTTCTACAAACACGCACATTAATTCAAAATGTCTGTGCCCAGACAACTTCAAAATATCTCCGCACGTAAGAATGAGGAGGTCGCGCTCTAGTAATTTAATATAGCTCTATGGTCTGTCCACACTAAATGATACAACTGCACAACATAAAAAATAGCTCTCATTTAAACTTTGTTAACAGTCAAGAAATAAGCTTCAATGATTCTAGTAGTAGTCGTACAATAGTAGAAATATAGTGTACATAATAAAGGATTTGGTTGTTAGTTGTTGAAATAATGAGAAATTTGATACAAATGTCCAGTTTATTTTTCGGGGGTCCTTTTTCAAGTTATGTAAAATAGGCATTATCATGCGGAAAAAAAACAATTCATGGGTACTGAAAATGTTACAGATGAGAAATAAGTTGAAATATAAAGCTCCTCATTTTAGTCTGGAAAAAATGAATGTGGGTGTACATGTACAGTGTCCTAACTATTCTCTTTGTTAAAAATGTCTCCATCAATTAGCAAAACAATTAATTTGAAATTTTCTTGTCTGTCCTGGTAACAAACGTTATTTTCAAGGCATCCGTTTTCCAAATACTTCCTTAAGAAAGAGGATTGTTTCTTTGAAAGTTCTCTAAATGGGCAATTCCACGGTAACGGAATTACAATTCAGAGAAATTTTGGCTCTAATTTAATGGATTTTGTTATCTATAGTGTCAACTAGGCCCTATGCTTTGAGATAATTGATTCAGACTGTACTTCTTACATAATTCGTACTTCACAAATTTTCCGAAAAATGTCGTTTCTCATACGGAATTGCCCAACTACATGTACTAACAGTGTGGGCACTTAATTATACTGGAACAAATATTATCGGACTTGGTTCATACTGCTTTGAATAATGGTGAGTCGAAAAAAAGTGTTTGTCCATGTGACAAACATTATGCCTTCACAATTAACCTTCCATAGCTCCTTAAATATTGCTTAAATTTTCTTAACCTTTCTGGTGTAAGAAGCATAAAAATAAGAAGGGCAAAATATTGCAGTTGGAAATTCAAACTCAGTGTCACAAAAATGTATCATTTAGTGTGGACAAAGACAGATCATAGAGCTTTATTAAATTACTAGAGCGCGAACTCCTCATTCTTATGCACATAGCCATACAAAAGCTGTACAAAATTTCGAGTTTTCCCATAGGTTTGTGTACAAACATGGATGCGCTCAGCAGGTATCACTTTGTACGTCGAGTTAGCGCTCTAGTAATCTAATATAGCTCTACGGGACAGACCCATCTAAGGAGAAAACTCCAAACTCACTAACACTGGGCAACCAAAGCATTCCTCCTGACATGTCCACCTGTTGCATCTGCAAAGATATTCTCAAGTTCCATGTCATCTTGGTCGTCGAAGTTGATGAAACTGCTCACATCGTCATCAGACAGCACGCACAAGTTGTGCATTACACATGTAGCCATTATAAATTGGCATATCTGACTTATGTCATGGAACATGAGCTCTCGCAATCTTCGGAACCTGCCTTTTAGGTGGCCTATGGCTCTTTCCACAACTTGGCGTTTGCCAGACAACATCCTGTTAAATCTGCGTTGCTGCTGCGACAGGTGTCCGTTGTCTTTGAAGGGTGTTACCAGCCAGCTTCTGAGCGGGTAGGCAGTATCACCTATGAGATACTGATGCTCTGCCAATTTATGTCCATCTTCAACGTCATGGTACAGTGGAGAGTTGCGGAAAACCCGTGCATCGTGCACTGATCCCGGCCATCCTACATATGCATCCGTTATTAGCATCATGTCATCAACTACAAGCTGCAGACAAATAGAGAAAATATCATAACACAAAGGGTTAAATAATATAGCATATCATTTTCAATTTTACGGGGGAATTTTCTGAATACAGCTTTCTGAACCCATGACTGAGCACAATAAGCACAGTCAGCACAGATATCAAGCAACAAGCACAGATGCGTTGGGTAATTATTGATTCAAAATGACAGAGCTACCAGTTGGATCTCCTTTAAGACACCAGAAATGCACAATCTTCATTTGAAATCTTTTCTTTTCATTTGTTGCCTTTTTAATGTAGTTTGTGTCAGTATTTGCCTCAGTTGTTGATCGCATCGCGCAATTTAAGTTTGCGCGCGCAAACTTGAACAAAATTAATCACCGCGCACAATTTTTGAAATTTGTGCGCGCAAATTTATAAACTACGTGTCTTTCAAAATTGCGCTCAACACCACGACTGTTTGTGGGCCCACTTATGATAATTTATGCTGGGTTAGGTCTAGTGTCATCGGAACTTATGAATTACGCACATAACCGCGTACAGTTGCAAGTCAGGTTCACAGACTTTACCTTCCCTTGAAAAAAAAATCCTCCAAGCCGCTAAAACCCCAATGGGGATCGAACTCGCACCATTGGAATTGTAATCCCATGTAGTATCCTACAGCGGTGATTCGACAACAGTGGTAATTTTAAACTATGCATGTATAACGCCTTTCAGCAAAAATCATATGCGTGCGGGTATGCATAATTCATCATAAGCTCCAATGACGCTATATAACCCAGCATAAATTATCATAAGTGGGCCCACAAATGGTCGTGATCCTGGCACTACGTCATTTATCTTTTGGAAAAACAGTTGTATTTATTTTCTGCCAAAAGAGATAAGTATCAACATGTGCATTGTATTTCAAAATTGTCTTGTGTCGCAACACGGGGAAAAACTTGGCGATGGGTTGCAGACGCAGTCCAAACAGAACAATTGCCTCACTTTTGCACAAAAATGATAGTCAAGCTGGACGTACACTCTATCTCAGAAATTAAGTGATGCATCGAATTGAATTTTAGCTAGATGACTGGTCATGACAAATAGACAAACAAGATAGAAGATTGAGACAAAATATTGTTTTTCTCACCATCAGCAGTGTCCTCCGTCAACACGGAAAAAAACTTGGCTATAGGCTGCAGTCACAGTACAAACAGAACATTTGCCTCACTTTTGCACAGAAACGATAGTCCAGGTAGACACGCTATCTCAAAACTAAATGACGCATGGAATTGAATTGTGGCCAGATGACTGGTTTTGAAAAATAGACAAACAAGACAGAAGATTGAGACAAAATATTGTTTTTCTCCCCATCAGCAGTGTCTTGCGTCAACACGGAGTAAAACTTGGCTATAGGCTGCAGTCACAGTCCAAACAGAACATTTGCCTCACTCTTGCACAGAAACGATAGTTCATGTAGACACGCTATCTCAAAAAAAATAAGAGACGCATTGAATTGAATTCTGGCTAGATGATTGGTCATGAGAAAAAGACAAACAAGGTAGAAAATTGAGAATAAAAAATGTCGTTTTCTCTGCCTCAACAGTGTAAACACAGTTATTGTATCAACTCAAGATAAACACATTGCATTGAAATGAAAATTCCTCTAATATTTTGGCATGATATTTGGCAAGAGCATCTTGAACAATGACAGGAACTGCCAACGAATGAATGTAAAACAATTGAAGAAATTAACATTGTGAGGACACTCCGTGTTATTTTTATCGTCATGCATTAATTTCTTCCATATTAGGAGGGCGCGCTAAACAAACTCCGCTCACTGCGCACAGACTTCAGTCCACTATCTTGTTTCAATCTCGTTTTCGTTCTCTTTAAACGAATTCCCATGAAAATATACTCCTGAATGCGTTATATTATGACGAATTATTGGTCGGAATTTCACTAAAATACAATTTGTAAATTGTGACTTATCCACCGAACCATATATTATTTTCTGTCATTTACAATGTCATTCATTCGGAATGTATTTTTCAGGTTTAACACACTAAGTTGTTTCGCTCACATTATTTTTGTTCTTTGACGAATTCACTTGAAATTGTACTGGCGATCGTAACACATTATTAACAATTACTCAACGAAATACTGGTTTAATACGTTTAGTATTCCATGAGATATTACCTGAACCATGAGTGTCATCTTTTTATTCAATACCAGTTCGTGTTGACTCTGCGTGTTAGCAGTAGCGACCACTGTGCATGTGGTGCGCCCTCTATTGAAAGATTAAACCGCTGGGTACAGCTGTCTCTGTGCGAGACAATCAGAAAGCAAAGAGTAGTTGGAAAGAGTTTGGGTAAAATGCCCTTGAAAAAAAGGAAACAACGAAACCTCTTGGAAATTTCTTTTCTTCTTGAAATGGAGTTGTGACTTTTTTTGCCATGAACGTTGCTTCATTTGGATAATATTTTTCACGTTTAAAACATTTAATTGTTTCGATCTCATTTTCTTTCTTGTTCTATGAAATTTGTACAAATCACTTTTTACTCAATACTATATAGTTGTACGTTAAGCATGACTGGCACCGCAAGCCTGTTAAATACTGACATACAAAATAGAGATTATCGGCGCCAATATAGTTTTTTGTAACACCAACAAAACTGCATTCCCAATTGAAGTCACGGTGTCCAGAAAATCGTCCTTACTATTAAACAAAAACACAATCACACATAATGTCACACGATAACTCAAAAATATTTGTTACATTACATTGGAATTTTTCCTATAGAGGTTGAGCATGACAGTCAACACAAGCATGATAAATATCGAGAGAGAAAACACACAGATTATCGGCGGCAATATAATTTCAGTAACACGGACAAAGCCCATCCAAAGTGAAGTCACGGCCTCCAGAAAATCGTGTGACACCTACGCCACACGATTGCTCAAAAACTAGTTATTTTATGGGATTGAAATTTTGACTAGATGTAAAGTATGACTTGCAACACTTGCCTGTTAAATATTTAGAGAAAATAATTTTCTTGTATTGGAGTGAAATTATATCTCCTGATTGGTCGTCATAGATAACACAACACTTTTGAATTTGGAGAGGAATTGTTAGAAAATAAAATTAATATATCCCGAAAATGTAGTGTGTTCAGCGCAAAAAATAATTGGCGGTTTTGAGTGAACTTATTTGATGACAAAAATACAACACGCTCGATTTCCGGAAGTTAACTCAAGAAATACATGTTGCATGGAATTGACATTTCGTAAATTGATTAAATGTTGTAGATTACAAAAATCTGTGAAAAATGAAGAGGAATTGTCTAGTAATAAAAAGAATATAGCAAAAAAAATGCGTTGTATTAAAACGGAGAAAAACCTGCCTCATTATTAAAGTCAGCTTTAATTTTCTTTCAAAAGAGGGCGCGCTTCACAAATAGAGGTCACCACCGTAAATATTTTGTTGTCAACACGAGACACCTAACTGAAGTCAACGTTCGTGACACAAAAACAAAACACTCGGTTTCCAAACGATAACTCAAGAAATACCAAAAGACGTTGAATATGGAGAGCAATTATTAATCCATGAAAAAAATGTAAACAAAAGAATAAGTGAGTTAAGCACGAAAAATAGAAGACGCATTTAAGTCAACGTTTATGGAACAAAAACAAAACCTACTCGTTGTGGAGACGATAACTCAAGAAATGTTTGATGCCTTGCATTGAAGTATTCCATAGTGATTTAACGTGATATGTCAATCAAATCTCTCGAATTTGGGTATGAATCGTTCCCCAATAATAGAAATATAGCAAAGACAGTGTGGCGTGTAAACGTGAAAAATACAAGGCGAATTTGAGTCAACCTTCATGGAATAAAAACCATCCCCTGTTTGTGGAGACAATAACTAAAAAAAACATTGATTTATTGGAGTGAAGTTATACCTCCTGATTGGACGTTCATATGTAACACAACCGGTTCGAATTTGGAGAGAAAGCATTAAAAACTTGAATTAATATACCCCAAAAATGAAGTGTGTTAAGCACGAAAACTAAATGGCGATTTCGACTGAGTCAACTTTCATGACACAAAAACAACACACTGGGCTTCAAAAAATAACTCAGGAAATATCTGTTGCATGGAATCGACATTTCGTAAGTTGATTAAATGTGACAAATCACAAAAATCTGTTGAATTTGGAGAGGAACCGTCAAATAATAAAAGTAATGTAACGAAATCTTTTATTTCAAGTATTCATACGTACGCGGGTATGTATACACGCATTTTGAAACAGTGCCCTCAATAGTCAGGTAGCGTCTAGCCCAACCCCCTCCACCCCTGCTTTTCCAACTTTCAAAGTTGATGGTTCCGCAAATATTAACAAGAGATTGCCGCTGCTGGTCAAGAGGAGTAACTGTAGCCTTTCCACAATGTCACCCTGATTAGCGCCGGTAGTTAACCTAGTGGCGAAACAGCGAGGCGTTCGGAACGGAGACTAGACATAAGTCGAGTGAGCTGCAAGCGAGGTTTTGAAAATCCCGGCTTCATTCCAATATCGGATCCAGCTCTATTGCCAAGCCGCATGCCCGAAGGCGGTATACAGAACAAAGCCGGAGTTTAGGAAACCCCGGTTTGTCTCATGACCTCGGTGACTTTCGGTCGTTTTGTAAACATAGGCTTCGTGCCCGGTTCGGAACAAAGCCATGTAAAGCCCCTAATCAGACAAGTGGCTTTGTCATTTACTTGTATGGTATGGTCCCACTGGTATGGGGGAGGGGAGGGGGAAGGGGGGCATGTGGTCGTTCAACTGTCCCACCCCACCCCCATCGTCGCTATACGTCATTGCTTCAGAGATTATTATAAATCGAGGTGGTTCGCAATACAGAATGGCAAATTCTGGTGTGATTTGTCCGGATATCACCCGGGCTAGTTCAGGGTGAATCGTACGCGTTATGCGGAGGCCACGAACTAGCAAATGTAGGAAGTCTGGTCGTTCCATACAAGCCTTTCTCGTTGATATAGGGGAATCTTAAATCACTTTACATGCTATTTTGGAACTGTGTCATTACTTTAGGTAGTGAACGTTTGCTTTTTAGGTCCATCATCACCGGTCATACATTCTAACATTTCTGGAAATGATTATTCGAACTGGGAGATATTGAAGTGTAAAAACCTTTTCCACATTTAGAAGGCCACGATTATACACGGGCCGTATATGATGCGTAAAGTTCATGGAAGTTTATTTAACTGTATTTTATTTCCTCAAAGTCCCAATCAAGGAGCAAAGCCTACCTCAGGGGCATAACTACGGGGACACGGGGCATATACCCCCACCACCTGTGGAAGCCGGCCCCAGCCCTCCCCCCCCCCCGACCCCATTTTGAAAACCTGAATTAAAACATTAACTGTTGTAATAATACGTTTATTTTGCAGTTAGTGCATCCTTTGAAAAAAATAACGCACCCCAGGTGCCTTACCCTAAGTAAGACCCAAGTTTCTCCGCTGGCTTGAGTACGATTTAATTCCTCATATAATCCAAAAGTTATCAACACAATTTAATAGACTGAAGCGCCAACTGTGCATTGAATGAATCACGGCCAGTGTATACGTCACTTGTCTATCCACCAATCACAGTTTGTCGGTGACAAGTCGGTGACGACAAGTCGGTGACCACAAGTGAGTGGTCTGTGACTGACAGGTTGTGTGTGTCAATCATAAATTCCATATTTGGATGTGTCACCGACATCCATACAATATCCACCAATAAGAAGCGGCCATTTCAATCTCGGTGACTAGTTTTTTATGGTGACTATATAGCCTCAACGACATTAACATTGCTTTCATATCATTAATATGAAGCGAGTCGGTGATGTGTGATTGACAGCGCACAGGAGCCATGCAATCACAATCCAGGTCCGAGTTTTTAGTCACTGCTCAGGAAATCGATGGCACTATTTAAGACATGTGGGGCCGTCCACCCTTCACATCGACCACCGGTCATCAACACCTTCGGACGACAACCAGAGAGAGAACTGACTGCAAGAACAAGATTTTGTTTGGTGAGTGTTTGAAACAATCATTTTTCCTCTGAAGAAATTTGTTGTCTTTTTCACAATGAGTTTGAATCATTGCGGGATTCAGATTTTGTTGAATGTTGCTGATTCAATGATTCTCCAAACAACGAGCTCGGTAGTAGGCTTGATATTTCCTCGTCTTTGTGTGTTTGTGAAATGTGGTAGCTTGAGGACTGAATTTTTTTTATGAACAAATGTTCAATTTCGTTTTACTATGACTCTGATACACGTTTGCTAGCAGCGCGCTAATTCCGATCCAGAAGTTGTGCCTTTTCCCAACGACCACTTTATAGTTGATAAAGTATCGCGATGATTTAGAAATGTGTTTGAAATTAACTTGTTCAGACGGGCTTTGTTTGTGCATAACATGCACTAATCAAAGCGCGTCTGAAAGAGTTAATTTCAAATACTTTTGTAAATTATCGAGCTATTTTATTTCAGCTCTTAATGTAAACAGTTGGTGCGGATGCAGACCACGGTTTTGTGAGGTCAAATTTCAAGGCAATAAAAATGAGGAATTCCTGTCTGGCAATATTTCCGCTACTACTTCCATTGTGTACTCTCAAAAACAAATTGTCCAAATACTTACTGGTTTCTTTTCTTCTTGAACAAAAATCATTTGGATCTTGTCGATATGGACAATACACTACAAAGTCACATTTATGGACTTTTTTAAATTAAGGTTCGACTGTTAGATTGGACTGTTTTCTGACCGCAGTTTTTCGCAAGTATAAAACATCAAGTTCCTTGCTGTGATTCAGAACAGTAAAGATGTATTGATCATTCAAAATAATATTTCAGAGGAACTACAAATCGGTGTTTCACATATTCGGTTTCAAAAAACAAGGCTCGCAAAACCTGGACTCTTTATAACCTGGCCAATATTTTTGGCACGATCAAGCACACTCTTACTTTTTGCCTCCCTTTTTCCTATTGACTTTATCGTTGAAATTTTCAAACATGAAATCCTAGTGCAATGTTCTCACATTATTTCCGGATATCACTCAAACTCAATCAGAATGAAAGGTTATGCGGAAGTTGGTCACGGAAGAACGTATACAGGTATCCGGACATCTCAAAATGCCGGTCTTATTTGTGTTATTATTTGTGGATATTCTCAGTGC